TATCATCTTCTACATCTGATGCTAATGAATAATAATTTTCCTCGTCACCTGAATCGCTATTATCATCATTATCTAATGTAGAATCATCATTTAAATAAATAATTTTTTCTAAATCATTACGAATGTTTAAGGATAAGTCATTTAATTGAAAAACATTCTTCGTTTTCAAAAGCGAAGACATTCCTAATTTTTCAGCAAAAGATTTTGCATATTCATAAGCATCATAGATATTTTTCTCTATGTTGTCTAATGTAAGCTCATTTAAATTTATTAATATTGATGAAAATGCATTGCTTTGATTTTGTTTATGATGCTTAGGAAATTTAATTCCACCAGAGGTAACATTAGATTCTTCAAAACATTTAATTTCGTTTAATATTGAAATTTTTCTTGTTTTGGAGAGAAATTGTTGAACGGTGAAATTTGTCATGGTTGAAAAGGGCCCAGTTAATGCTCTAGCACTACGAAATATATTTTCACATGGCTGTGAACTAAATAGGAATATATTCAATGATTCAATTGGCAACTTTTCGTTTAATACTAATAGTGAAATAATAGTTAACATATGAGCATTTAACTCAATCGAATGATATGCTGGAAATGTCATGAAATGGTGTTCTATTGCTTTGTAAGATAGCATTTGATTTTGTTGAATTTTTTTTTGTTCCTGAATCATGAGTTTATATCTTATCCATGTGAACCAAAGTCTAGAAATAAAGACGGTTGACCATGCATAAAATATTCTCATTAATATATTCGTTGCCTTATCAATGTAAGCAATAGTTACAAAACGTAAAATTGTTAAATAGCAATGTGTTCCAAATGAATTTTCATTTTGATCTAACATATTTAAAACATTAAGTGATGAGATCTTTAAACAGGATGCATAATTTTGTCTATCTTTTACATATATATCCGATAAAACTAAATTATGATCTAACTTCGAATATTTATCAAAAGATTTTGCAGATCCTTCAAGGATATTTGATAATCTCCCATAACTAACGAAGCAGTTGTCGACAGCAATCGATTTCTCAACTTTGTTGCTAAATGAATTGGATCTTGAAAGCACAAAAACAACTGCTTTGTGCGTAAAAAGAACCAAGACCATGAATTTGGAATGTTTATCTCAAAAATGTAGTCTTTATCCAATAAATCAATATTTGGTAGCTGTGCAAAATATCCTTAATGATTAAAAATTATTAAAAAAAGATCATATTTTGAAGATTAAGCTAACCTGTTGCTAGCCTCATCGCTTTTAAATATTTCGAATCGGCATCAGAAGAAAATCCAACAATTCTAATATTTCTTTTTTTGCATTCTTCAAGTATAAATAACCAACGATGAATTATGGAAACTGAATCAATATGATTATCAGTACCAAAACTAGATAACAAAAACGGTGGAGATCCTATACTAGTTATTGGTTGAACTGTATGCAGATTTACTAATGTTGATTTTTTAAATGTTTCAAACCATTCTTCTAATTCAAGAAAATCGTCAGTTTGATACTGACGAAGCATTGGTATACCAGCTCTTAATTCTGGACAGAATCCGACAAACGAATTACTTTCAGCATCATACTGTATTTTACTAATAACACCGGTACAATCTTCAGAAGCATATGCATAAGAACAATTAATATTTTTTGAATAATCATTCAACTGATCAAAACGAAATTCACCTTCTTCTATACGTGTACAATATTCATTATTGTACGATTCTAATGTTGGTATAGATGGAAAAGCACCCGGTAAATTTAATCGTAAAAGCTGATAAACATTTTGACCGCCTAATGCATATACTGATGATGCAAATCGTCGTGTACTTTCATTGTATTGATAACGATATTTAGAACGATTCCTATTATCAGACATATTATTAATGAATGTATTTACAAAACTACTAGGGTGTGTATTTGAATTTTGGTTTTGATTTTGGGAGACATGTGGTTGTTGTTCATGTAATTTATTTTTCAGTACATTTATACAATAATCAAGATTTTCTTTTATAGCTGGACGTATCATGTATTCACCACTTTTTAATCGTAAACATGCACGAGTTCTTAAATCTTGTAATTCTTCACAATCGATTTTAAATAAAGAAAATAAGTCTTGTGCCCGTAACAAAGAAGGAATATTGTTGATTCCCTGAGCTTTTAAAATTTCAACTTCAATATCACTAGTCATTTCTTCTATGAGATTGAAAAATTGATCAGATTTTATTTTACTAATTTCAAAAAAAGTACTGTTATTCATATCTAAAAAAAATTTCTATTCAGTATATCCATAAAAATAAAGGAGAATCGCAAATAAGAAAAACTTGTATCAAAATTTAAAAAAAATTAATTCTATCCTATATTTAAACAATGCGCTCGACATCAGTGATCTAAATACGATGGATTTAGAAAAAAAATTAAAGTCTAATAAGGCACTAGGGAAAGGGAGCTTTTTTCAAGGAATCTACTAATATCTTGCAAGTTTTCTTTGTTAACACTACAAGTCTTAAAATGAATGATAGCTTTTAAATTTTTTGTTTTGCTTTTAGAGTCTTTTGAATAAATCAATAGATATTTTCAAAGTATTTTTTTCAAAAAATATAACCTGCTTAGACACGCTACTAATGATAAAAACTAGTGTTAACCAGAAAAAAAGAATCTTTTTTTCTTTTAGTCTTATCACTGGAAAACTTTTAATGTTCTACCTTATAGAAATTTTTCAAAAGTTACGTTTTCATGGGAGCTCTAGTGCACAGGCAAATTTAAATGATTATTGAAACGAGTAAACAGTGGTCTTCCAAACGATTTTCATAACAAAAAATATATCTTGTTTATTGTCTAATTTATATTTATTCAAAATTATCCTTCTACATAAAATATACATCGAAATAAGAGCATAACATGTTCAAAAAATCAAATGATATTACAATCTATAAAATGAAACTATTATGATTCCTTTTTTTCTATATGTTATAAATTGTACATTTATTTATCTTTTCAGTTTTTTAAATTTTGTAGAAGACGAATGTGTGGCAGACGAATTATCATTATCTTTTCTTTTGATTTGTTTTGCTGTAGGAGATTTATTATTGTTCGTAGCAGCAGTTGACGATTGTGGTACAGAGTTGTTAATTGGTTCAGTTTGTAATTCTCTATTTGCCAATTTTTTTTCTTCTTTCAAAATATTATTTACCATAGAACATGTCGATGTTGTTAAATGAGCATAAAAGTTGGATAAAATAAATTTCGACGTATCAGAACGAATTGGTAGCATCAGCCTTCCTCCACAATTACATTTAATTACGGCTTTTAATGTTTCGCCGTCTGGTGCAACTTGTAATTCATAATGTTCATTTTGTTTTAAAATGACTGAAACAAATGTTTTACGAGAAAACTTTTCTATCAAATCTGTTATAAAACTAACATGATCATGTATTGATGTATATTTAGAAATTAATGGACTTGTATTTGCTGTACTGTTTTTGAATAATGTAGACGATGAATTTGTTGTAGTTGTTAATAACGGAGAATCGTACGCAGTTGAGTTATTGATGTTATCTGTATTTGTTACGATTGTTGGTGATGCTAAAATCGTAACTGATAATGCTTGTTGTCGTTGTTGTTGATAATGTTTTTTTTTAAATTTTTCATGTTTATCTTTTAATGCATCAAATAAATTATCTAAATTCAATTTCACACCTTGTTTGACAATGAATTCACCATTTTTGCACATAAAACAAGCATTAGATTTTATTGAATTGACTTCATCACAATCAAGTTTAAGAATATCCAATAAATTTGTTGATCTAATTAAGCATCGAGCATTTTGTATACCTTGAACTCGTAATATTTCGGCTTCGACCTCACCACAAACATCTTTTACAAAATTATAAAAATTATCATTTGATTTAAATAAAACATCATCTTGTAAATCATATAAATCGAATGTTCCCATCAAGCTTGATCATATATAATAACGGTCATAATGACGAATGTTTAAAATTTCTTTATATTATGGTTTCTTTTTCTTCTCTTTAGAAACATGATAATGAATTATATATAAAAAAAAACGGGGATGTATTTTTCATCTTAAGACACGTGGTATGAGAATGGATCCTCATTTTAAAGCGGTGATACATTTATTTTCATCAAATTTAAGACATTATTGCTTGAAATATTTGGTTTGATAAATATTTGTCTGCCTATTCCATTGATATTGGAATTTCTATATTATTGAAATAAGTTAAACTTTAGTTTTTGGTAAATTTCAACAGAACTCATTTACTGAGAAAATAAAACACATACTTAAACTGTATCATTCTTCTAATTGCATCTCTTAGAAAGAAGTATTTATACGTTTGAGACTATTCATCATGTATAATTAGTGATCTTCTCTCGTTCATGTAATCTATTGAATTTTGTATTATTATCTAGCTTGCTTTGTATTTCTACCGTTTCTTTAATGACTAATGAACTGTCTCTATCAATATATTACGAAAAGAAACGCATTTTGTTTTCCTATTCAAGTATTAAATACAGCTAATAGTGCTTATGAATATGATATACTTTATATATTATTAGAGTAGATGAATATACTACTTGAGAGAAAAAAAATTAATACGCATTTAGAAACGGTTATAATTACTTTTCCAAAACTTTTTACTTCAAGTACTTGCAACAATAAAATTAATTATCCTGTATGTGCCCGACTATCTCACAGAGCTCGCATTCATTGTCAGTTATTATGATGCATTTCTAACCATTCCGATTCAATCCAAGGCATTCCGACCCAATCCGATCCATTCCAATCCATTCCGATCCATTCCAATCCATTCCGAGCCATTCCAATCCATTCCGAGCCATTCGAATGGCTCGGAATGACCTTTTTCCCCCTTGGGTCCCCCACAGGGATTTCTTGAAAAACACCGAATTTTGGGCTAACTTGGAAGAGCTCTATCTCCTACAATTCTGAAAGGCGAAGTCTAATATTTTAATCACTAGTAGTGTCCACTTAGGTCTATTCA